TGGGCAGGTCGCCTGGGTGGCTCAGTTGTTTAAACATAAGACCAGGTCAGGTCATGGTCTCGTGGTTCCTGATTTCGAGCCCCACGTCAGTCTCTGTGCTAACAGCTCAGAGCCTAAAGCCTGCTTGGGGTTCTGTGTCTCCCTCTTTCTCTGCCCCTCCACCCCGCCTCAAAAATAAACATTTAAAAAATAAGAGAAAAGGCAAGGACTTTTAAAAGAGGATGGAGAGAATTTAGAGATTTTTTAAAATACATTTTTTCACAGAATCTTTTACATTTAAGAGCCACATGAACCAAATACAGTGTGTGGTCATTATATTGAACCAGATTCCAAACAAGCAGTTGCAGTAACACATGTACAAAATAATTGGGGTAAATTTGAACACTACTGTACACTTTATATTTTAACTATAATGAATTTTAGTGGGTGATGTCATTCCAGGTTTGTTTTTAATAAGTAACTTTTATCTTTTAGAGATCTATAATAAAATATTCGTGGGTGAAGTATGTCTGGGATTTGCTTCAGATAATTGGGGGATGTTGTCAAAAATGAGGGGGTTACCTGTGAGTTTGTTATTGTTGAAGAGGTAATTGATTTGATGGAGACTCCTTGTACTATTCCCTAGTTTTTGTATATATCTGAAAATTAGCGTAGAAGTTTACTTTTAAAAGTAAAATGTGATTTTTTTTTTATGTAAGGATGCCTTTGTACTTCTTGGCTGTTATTTTCTTTTTTTTTTAATTTTTTTTTTTTCAACGTTTATTTATTTTTGGGACAGAGAGAGACAGAGCATGAACGGGGGAGGGGCAGAGAGAGAGGGAGACACAGAATCGGAAACAGGCTCCAGGCTCTGAGCCATCAGCCCAGAGCCCGACGCGGGGCTCGAACTCACGGACCGCGAGATCGTGACCTGGCTGAAGTCGGACGCTTAACCGACTGCGCCACCCAGGCGCCCCTTGGCTGTTATTTTCAATTACGTGTTTGTCTTTTTTATTGTTCTCTAGATTGCCCCGGTGGAAAATGACAATAGCTATGATGAACTGAAAAGAGATGCAAAGTTATGTTTGTCACTAATGTCTCAGGGGTTGCTTTACCCTCATCAAGTGCCTTTGGTACTTCAGGTGCTAAAACAAGTAAGAGTGTATAACAAATATTTATATGATTTTGTTAGAACTTGGTATATCATTCTAAGAATTTCACAGAGTCCGCTGTAGTGCACATAAAACCTGAAATTTGTTTTTCATTTTGAATTTTCTTTTAGTATGAGGGAAGACATATATTGACCAAAGAAACAGACCTAGATTCTATACCTGCCTTTGCCACCAACTTCTGTGACCTTGGGGGCAATCACTCAACCCCCAGATTTTCTATATACACAAAGAGCTACTTACTGAAGCACCTCAGATACAATGTGCTTATGAGTGAGGGGGGTGGTCATTCCCTTTCATCAATATCCCCTTTATTTTATTCACTTGTATTTCCCGGTTTCTGGTTAAAAATAATGATGATGATGATGATAATAATAATAATAATAATAATGTGCAACTCTTAGAGGAGTCAGAGCATTAGTTATAAATAATTTTCTTCAAGAGTTGACTTTTGAATGTGTTCCTTTCCCTTTACTTTCAACCATTCTAAATAACTAACTTTACCTGAAATAGTTTATGCAACCTTTTATTTAGAAGGATATAGGACATGAGCTTGCTCTAACTATACTTGTAAAAGTAGAGTTGTTAGTAGATTATATTATTTGCATGTAATTTCTATCATTTTTGTTCTTGGTAGCACTGTTTGCATTGTTTCTACTTCTTCTCATTTACAGACAGCAAGAAGCAGTTCTTGGCATGCTAGATACACAGTACTGACCTACCTCCAGACCATGGTATTTTATAACCTCTTTATTTTCCTTAACAATGAAGATGCAGTTAAAGACATCAGGTGGCTGGTTATAAGTCTTTTGGAGGATGAGCAACTAGAGGTAAAGTTTGAGATACAGCAAATCAAATGTAATACATTTAAAGAAGGCATCATGCCCTACCCCCTCTTTAATAAGTATGCACTGATTGCTTTTCTTAAAGTGTAAATTATTAAAAGTAACTTTCATTTTAACATACTCTGTGTGATTGGTTTTGATACCCTAATCATGACTTCCTGTCGTACAAATGGAAACAAACATTGGGCATGTACTTGTTCTGGCATCTCTTTGAACGTGGACAGATAACATTTTTGAACCAAAGTTTTCTTATATGTGAAATTGCAGGTGATAATCTTTTCCTTACTAACTTAAGAGCTAATAGGAATGTCCATGAAGGCAATTTCAAGAGAATAAAAATCCACACACAAATGCTATTATCCAGTAGACTTAAAATAGGATTGTTGCCCCTTTTTATTTTTCTTGGTAGAGAAATTAAAGGTAGCTTTTGAGGTGAGGTTACATTAACATTTTGTACAAAAAGGTAAATCTCTTAGTTAAAATAGCCAAATGTAAGAAAAGCATGTTGTAGTAAATACGGATTAAGATACAACTTTTGAAATTGGCCTTAGGTAAAGAAAATTCATTGAAATTTTTGTGAAATTTGTACTTTTTTAATTTTATGGGCTTTATGGGTTTTCTGTATGGTAGAACACTCCCAGTAATTATATATTCTATTTGAGAGCACTGGAAATAGATTATATCAGTAGGAAACTAGGAATGGAAATTTTTCTACCTCCCTAATGAGCCTATTCATTTTGTAGTACAGCTTTATTGTTTTCTGGGAGCCAATATCGTCTAGTCCCTTAGATACTCACAGTTGGTTATGACAACCACAACAGACTTCAATGTAAATATTTACAGTTATCCATAACTTTTTAACTTGTCTTTTTTAGTAACTTGAATGGAAATGAAAAGGTGGAAATCTTGAAATCAGTATTTCCTAATTTTAAATATTACAGTAGTCACATTAAATTGCATTTACTGTTTGGCTGGACCTTGTAGAACATTTTCATAATTATCTTTATATTCCATGTAGTAGGCTTAAGCATAACTGCTACTATAAGTATAACCATGCCATTCATTAAAACTACCTTTCTTTTTTTTTCCTAAAGATTTTTTTTTTTTTTTTTTTTTAAGTAATCTCTCAACCCAGTGTGGGGCTCGGACTCACAGCCCCAAGATCAAGAGTCGCGTTTTCTACCCACTGACTGAGCCAGCCGGCACCTCTGTCATATTTTTTAAAACAGAATATTGAGTATCAGTAATAATTAGTGACAGCTACTCATAATACTGAAAAAACATTATAATAATCTAAATGAGGAATGTTTAAAGAAAACTATGGATTTAAAGGAAAACTTTTAGGGGTACCTGGCTGGCTCATTTAGGGTCGTGAGTTCAAGCCCCATGTTGGGTGTAGAGCCTACTTTAAAAAAAGAATGTGTAATGATGATGACAGGGTTGTCAAGATATATAATGAGTATTCCACATTAGTCTTCTGTCATAGTATGTTAGCACTGGCTCTTGAAAAGCAGCTGATAGCCACAAAATTCACAGTAAAATTGTTCATACATTGGAATTTAGTAATCCCATTAGTAATCCCAATTTTTAGGATCCAACTTAAGAAAACACATAACAATATGGAAAAAAATTATATACATAAATTAAGAATATTTTTAGCACAATAGAAGTTGAAAGCATTCTAATCAATAGTTGGATATAAAAATGAATCGTGGTATTAAAAGAAATAATGCAACCGAATATGAAGTAGTGAAACATTTTATAATGTAATTCACTTAATAGTGTGATGAAAATGTTAAGTATGCAAAAACTGTCAACACTAAAACATTTAAGACAAAACCTTTTGAAGCAATAAATAGCAAAATATTCAGGTTTTTTTTTTTTCAAATCATTATTTCCTGTCTTTATGAATATTTAGCAGGAATTTTGTGATATATCTGAGAAGATAGCATTTTACTGCTTTTTTGTTTTCAACAAAACTTGAGTTCCCATTCCACTTTGAAATGATACACTCTGCATTTAGCACTTCTGAAAACGATGTTTGTAATCTGACATAAACTTGTGAGATTCCTAAGAAGTAAATTGCACAGAAGTAGCTACAATATATGCCCATTGCAGAAATTGTCCTGTATCTCTGTTACCAATGAAAACAACAATAGCAGTAGATTTTAGAGATCTGGACTCCAGGAAAACTTTGTTTTTTTTTTTTTTTTTTTTTTTTTTTTTTTTTTTTCAACGTTTATTTATTTTTGGGACAGAGAGAGACAGAGCATGAACGGGGGAGGAGCTGAGAGAGAGGGAGACACAGAATCGGAAACAGGCTCCAGGCTCCGAGCCATCAGCCCAGAGCCTGACGCGGGGCTCGAACTCAAGGAACGCGAGATCGTGACCTGGCTGAAGTCGGACGCTTAACCGACTGCGCCACCCAGGCGCCCCAGGAAAACTTTGTTTTAATGTTAGGCTCTGGCACTGCTTTTAAACAGTTATAGCCCTGATAAGAACTGTCGGTCAATGGGAAAATGCTTTATGGAGAAATTTAATTTTGTATGTTACTCTCTGCAACCCTAATGCTTTCATCCGTTTTGAGGTCACAGACCCCTTGAGGATCTGATGAAGTCTCCATTAAGAAATAGCATGTGAGAGTATTTACACAATTTGCAAACAAATGCCAGGGAAAGCCCCCAGCCCAGTTCCCGCAACCACCCTCCCTAGCATTCCACTTGATTTAGGATCTCAACTCTAAAAGAAGTGATTATCTCTACAGGTTCGAGAAATGGCTGCTACCACCTTAAGTGGTCTGTTACAATGTAATTTCCTGACCATGGACAGTCCTATGCAGATTCATTTTGAGCAACTTTGCAAAACAAAACTACCGAAGAAAAGAAAGCGAGACCCTGGTTTTGTAGGAGATACAATTCCTTCTGCAGGTAACTGTGCTGGTAGAAAAATACCCATATCCTTTGGGAAATTAACCAGGCTTACTTAACAAATATTTACTGAATACTTGTATGTACCTGGGTACTGGAAATGGTTGTCCCTGCTTTTTTTTTTTTTTTT